CCTCTTGTTCTTTTTGTTGAGGTGATTTTTTACATCTTGTCATTTTGTCCAGAAGAGAATAGATGAATGAGAGAACAAAATGCTAACAGGGTAACAATGACCCCAGAAAAATATACACTAAACAAATCAGGAAAGACCTGAACCTGGGGGAAAAGAAAGAGAAAGAAAGAAAAAAGAAAAAAAAAGGAAAAGGAAAAGATAAAAAAAAAAAAGAATATGGTCAGATATGATCAGGCTGGTGAATAGATTAGTTCCACGCATTAGATTTTGGGCGTATTTTGGTCTGTTAGAAGCAACTTCCTCCCAAAATTTTAAAGAAAGAAAAGCTTATATATGTACAAAAATAAGGATAAATACGATGAAGGGATGGAATATGACTGTAAAGATGAAAATTATAAAAGATTTTATAAAAGGAATTATAAGATAAGAAGTTGGTTGAAAAAAGCAAGAAGAGAAATTAAAAAAAAAAGGGGAGAGAATGTGATAAGGTAGGAGACTAGTACAAAGCCATATTCTAGAGATTTAGGATGTATTTTGGTGTGTTAGAAGAAATTGTATCCCAAAATTTTAAAGAGAGAACAGCTTAGATATATACCAAAAATAAGGTTAACTAGTATGAAGGGATAGAATATGACTCTAATAATGAAAAATAAAAAAGATTTTTAAAAAAAAGGGATTGATAAGATGTAGGTTGAAAAAGAGAAAAAGAAATATTCAAAAACAAAAGAAAAAAAATTAACTTTGAAAGACTAAAGAATCATGGGAAAGAAAGCCATGAATTCTCTGTGCATTATTCCCTTAGTGCTGGCATTCTGCCTTTCTCATTGATGGGTAAACTTTGTCTTGGCTGGCCGTTCTTGCTGATCTTCTGGGGGAGGAGTTGTTGCCGTGGTTCCCAAATGTCTTTGCCGGAGGCGGAATTGCCCCACCCTTGCCGGTCCGGGCTAAGTAATCTGCTCGGGTTTGCTCTCGGGAGCTTACGTTCCCTGCAAGCTTTCTGTCCAGCTTTGGAGGACGAGAGTGAAAATGTCGGCCTCCCAATCTCCACCCTGGAGGAGCCGAGAACTCGGGGCCCCACTCCTCAGTGCGCCCCCAGGGAAAAGCAGTCAATCACTCCCGTCTCCCC